AATTTAGACACTGTAATATTTAGGGACTAACTAGAGAAATCAGCTCATTGATTATAGCTTCATCTATATAAAATCCCCAACTTCAAATTGACTAAGTATCGACAATATACTTTATCCCATTGCAGAGGTGGCTCTACATAAAGGGGAACAAGGCGGTGCCTGTGGCCCCGAGCATTTTAGGGGCCCCGCACAGTCGTATTTCAGGTGTTAAGAGAGGCTTGATATTGAACCTCGCCACCTCCCCTTGGGCTCCGCAATCTCTATGGCTGCCACTGTCACCTTGTAGGGAAAGCGAGCTGGTCTAGTGGTTAGAGCACGGGACTTCGGTACTTGAGGTCCTGGGTTCAAATCCAGCCAAATCACCAACGGATTTTATCTAAGTGATAATGCCGCAACCCCTAGGGCTAGTCTGAAGTAATGTGAAAAACAATCCCGGGCTATTGCCTAGCGTCCTAGAAAAAAAATCTGTCCCCTTGTACAAATGGAGGCCAACGTCTAACAATTCTCTCATTCAGTGCTGACCCCAGTTGTTGCTCTAGCTCATTGGATGTCATTGGAGAAACAAAAACAAAACAAAACAACCTTTTAAAACATGTTTTGTGTGGACACACTCAGTAAGGATGGATAAAAAAAGCCAGATTTCAGGTTGGACTCTTAAAGAATGCAAAAAGCCAGTAATAGTTTTTAACTAGAATCCTTTCCTAGCTAGCTAACCAACTATCTGCAACGTTTAGCTGAGCTTATCATGACAATTTTAAAGGTAAATTGAGCTCTAGGAACATTGACCCTGAATTCATGGCATTTTTGGCAAAAAAAGTTTGAATTCAAGCACAATAACCACTTCAGCTACCCAGACAAATGCTTGGCCAAGCCTTAGAAAACATCCCAGTAATCTACTAACCTGGTTTAAAAACATCAATTTACATTTTTTACTAAATCCTACAAACAAGAATATGATGTAAACAATTATCGTTAATTATTGTGCAAAAGAGCGAAATATAATTTAACTGGACATAGCCTACACAAAATAAATTGTATTACAGTCGGTAGTCTTTATTGAAGTTATTATTAAATATTAATATTAAACTAGTGGTCGTCCTGTGGTCGAAACTCGACCAAAAATAATTAATGTACAGACTTCTCTATTTTCTCCCCACACTGTAAATAAAACATGTGATTGGAATTTCTTCCATTTGTTTTGATTTTCTGTTTACATTTTGTTGTTATTTTGTCACCATCATGGCAACCCATATGGTCCATGTTAATTTTTTGAAGTTTTCAAATTCATTTTTTGTTCTTATTTGTTAGCCTATTTTAATTTTTAAAAGCATTCTGCACATCTACAGGAAAATATCTTTCCAACAGTATGCGTAGATTTTCCCTGCGATGCACACGAGCTGAGAAAAAAGGTTTTAAAGAAACATGCTTGCCTATTAATATATAGATAATTGTTATTACAGTAGAACCCTGGTTAACCGAAACCCAAGTTAACCGAAACGGTTCCATAAAATAATTAAGGGGCTAAAATATAAGTACAGTAATATGCTTCAGTAACTTCATTTATTAGTTTAAAGTATTATCCAACCCATTTCAAAATTTCTATAGCCTGAAATAAAACACTGTATAATATATACATTGTTTTAAATTCATTTTTCCTACACAATGTGGCACTGGTAATAAATAGGCTATTTTTAGCATATGACACGTTAACCGAAATTTTGTTTATCCAAAACGTCTCTTCCCTTTATTTTGGTTAACCAGGGTCCTACTATACTAGTAATTATTATGTACAGAATACGTTCTACACGGAATACTTATTTATCAAATTAATAGTTAAATTAATAGTTAACGTAATTAACTTAAAACAAACTACAAATCGCTCCTCACTCAATAATGACTCAAATCGTGACTAAACTTATTATTGTCATATCTTAAAACAGATCCAAATGTAATAGAGCGGTGGCGTAGCAGCAGGATGGTCATGACAAGGTAACAGCTGTCAAATAAATTACTGCAATACAACGAACATCTGAGATATTAAGGCGGGGCAGCTTTGTTTGACCTTTAACATCAAATTACTTTTCTAGATGGTTTATCGTCTTGATGAAATTGAAATGCCAGAAATATCACAGAAAAATACTGTGTAGTATAAAAGGAGTCTTAAAACAAAACATATTTTTTTTAATTACCTTGATTACCTTCTTCTTAGCCTGAGACCAGTAACACACTGGATAAGCTGCGTCCAAAATAATTTACATATACATATTTACAAAGGCTATTTACAGAACTTCCAAGATTGAGTTATACGTGTCACACAGATGGCGTGGACAATGGTCTACTGTTATCGAAGTTTGCTTCGAAAAACTCTTTCAAGCTATAAGGGCTGTACTCTCATGAGGCTCTTAAGATTTGAGGCAAACTTGTTACCCTCAAGCTGCTTGATTCCGTCAGGGAGATTACTGTAGAGCTTTAGGGCCATAACTGGGAAAGCATCCCTGGTTTTGCTTAGCCTGCGGAAAGGAATGTCAATTTTGGTTTTGCACCTAGTATTGTGGCTGTGCACATCATTCCTTTTGTTGAATTTCCCCAGGTTATCATGGACATATTTTTCAGATGAGAGGATGTAACTACTGTAGACAGTCAGTATGCCCGTCCTTATAAAAAGCGGCTTACAGTGTTCGCGCCTCCTACTACCCGTGATGACTCGCAAAGCCTTCTTTTGCTGCCGTAGGATTTTCAGGCAGTCAGGTGCATGGCCCCATAGCTGTAGACCATACGAGACGTGGCTATGGGACAAGGCATGATATATCTATCAAGTAGGATTTGGGGACTAGTTTTGTGAGTTTCTGGAGCAGATAGGTGACCCTCGCTAACCTCTTGCAGATGTTATCAATGTGGTCTCCCCAAGTTAACTTAGAATCGAGAGTAAATCCAAGCAGTGACACATTTCTCGAAACCTGCTCAAGTGATGGCAAATAAACTCTAAATCAAATAAAATCTTTTATAGGGCCAAATTAACAATTACACATTTTGCACTAGAATTTAAATACAAAATGAATAATATTATTGCTAATTATAATATTTACAATAACTACAAATTAGAGCTTGTATTTTGAAAGGTTTGGTTCGAGAGACAATGGAAGGTAGTTGAAAAATTCTATGTCGGCGAACAATGTGCGTTTGAAAAAAGTTTTGTGTTTAGGGGTCTGATAGATAAATGAATTGCACAATGTGTATGGTTGTCCGAAAACTCAAAATGAGGAAATTTTTTTAAAGAGTGTCAAAGTTTTTAGAATAAGATGGAAAAGTCTAAATTTTTCATTGAAAAAGTACTCTAAGCATGACTGAGGCTTTCATAATAAAGAAAAATAGTCTTCATAACCAACTTTTTGTTTTTGAGAATCTTGCTCTTAAATTCCCAAATTGAAACCAGCATTTGCTAGTTGGGTTTGGGATTGGTGAGCCTCTAATGATTATGTTTTCCATCTTGGTCAAAACTATAAATATGCGTTCATATATTATACTCGTTTCTTTACTTTCCCTCAACTAGTCCTATTCTAGACTGTCCCAAGCTCTATGTGACGCTTAGTATTGCTGTAATTGTTAGAAGAAATGGAAGAGTAAACTTGGCTGGTGCCAAGTGTTAATTGCGTTCGACTATCTTTTTGTTATTGAAGAAATAAGATAAGCATACTATTGTAGGCCTAGTTCATTGTTTGTCGACACATATATAGGTACAAAAGTGTATGGACATAAAACATGCGTTGGTCAACTAACTAATTTATTTACATTTTAACTAATGTAGCCTACCTTCTTTTCAAAGCAGTGGTCAGCTGGCAATAGATTTAAATAGGGGTTGAATTGTTATACCGTATAGTGGACAGAAGTTAGAATAGTGGCGAAAGAAGTAAGGGACAACTTAAGATAGCATCCTCTAATTCAATGCCATGGTTAAAACACTACTGTCTTGGCAAACCGAAATAGTTGTTGCTCTAATTTATAAAAGAGCTTCTCCGCAATGTTTATATTTACACATTTGTTACTTCTGCTATTAGCCTAACATTAACTTATAACAGGCTGGACGGAGTGACATTGCCACAATGTGTATCAGGCATATTAAGTACCCTATTATTATTAGAGGGAGGCTATGAACAAACACATCAAAAATCCAATAGGCCTACAATAACAAGTTGTTTTATATCATTGAACGGAGCTTACTCGCATCATTCTTTTCTGCTCCGACTTGGATTTACCTACTGACATCACAATTAAAGCAGAATAACTACAAATAAATACCCGATAATGCTAAGCTAATTTAAGTTTGTACGGTTGGCTAACTGATAAACATAAACGAGACCTGGGATTCAAGCTTAGAACTACTGTAACTTACTATGGTAAATTTTTGGTCTTAATCGTTAGGTCTATTTACTTAATGGTCGAGCAGCCATGGATTAGGCTATATGTTTTTTTGTCAGGTGATAAAACAATAGACTCAGAATAAAAGAAAAAGAAATAAAGAACTGAATGAGTAATATTGATTGTTTAATTTGATATAAGTTATCATTTGGTTATTTTAGTTAGCATAGGATAGGTTAAACCCTTACCTAACTAACCAAACGATATACCGGAGTCAAATAATCCATATATCGATCAATATTTTCATTCGGTTGTTTGTGCCAACAGATATGGAAGTAAACACTAATTTGGGACTCAATAGTTAATGTAATGAGTTATGAGTCTAGTGATAATCCTTGATATGTAAACAGATGAGTGAACAACTTTTAAGTGACTTAGCCTACGTATAGGCCTAACTTACTTCCAAGACTAGCTAATCACTCAGATCACTGTTTTAGGCATCAAACATAGGCCTGCATCGAGTATTTTAGCTTGGTTTCCCACTTGCTTCTGTAAGTTAAAGATAGATTGCTGCACTCCATGCAACATAACCTAAAAATAAAACCAGGTAAGTTATCATGCAATGTTTAATTTGTACAGGTTACCTTTTAATTTCCTACTTCGTTTCTAGGAGATGTATAATGCCTAAGCGGAATCCTCTTAATACGTTAACAGCACTACCGATAAAATATTTATTTTTATTTATACAAGTTACCTAAATAACTGTAAACACTTAGGCTAAGATGGAAATTTATTACCGACCGTCTGTTTCTGCGTCTGTCTGTACAGTACGGAACGGACTGACTGACTACGACTATTGGTTCTAGTCTGAGTCTGGTCTGACCCTGAGTCCTGACTGTTTATAATAGAATCGTATCGGATCGGAATTGTTGGAATGGACACTCACTCCACTCCAGTTACTCATTCCTTTGCAAAATAAAAACTGTTTTCTCTTCAACATAGATAAAACATGGATAGCGCTGGGTTCACGACGATATGGTAGGCATACGGTTAAGTATCGATCGTCGTAGTATGAAAACAAATACTACCGAATATTTTAAATCGATTGGCTTCCATAGCGCTAGCGCCAACCAACCAACCAAAACGTAAACAAACAAGTTTAGCTGCTAACTCATGTTTTCCAATTTTTTTTTTATTATTTATAAAAATGTCATCGTATTTACTTATTAATTGTTTAATGTAAAACAGATTGCAAATAAAACTTTGTTAAAATAACCAAACCAACCAACACCGACAGACAGAAGGAGAGAAGACAGAGACAACAAAAACTACTAGCACTAGCCTAAAAGGAGAGGAAAATATTTGATTTAATTATGTTATTTAATTTATTCCAACATTGTTCCTTTTGGTCAGTTTCATGGTGCATAGCATGGTGGAAGGTGCATAGTGCATTATTATGGAAGAAATATGCAAAGGTCATCTAAACGCTTTTAAAAGTAAGGGGGTGGTCATTTATCTGGCGTTAATTGCGCAAGATACTGGAATATTAATTTTAAAATTCCTCCGTAATTTAAGATCTTATATATTCATCATGCTGGTTATCAGCCTTACTGTAATTGGATAATAAACATTTTCATTGACAAATTTTATGCCAGGTTCAGATATTATGTTGTACTTATTTTATTTATTTGCATTCACTCTCACTGTAATATTGTGAATAAAATTATGGCCTTCCGTCGTCAAGGCCACATTATGACGTTTGACGACAGACATAGGAGCAGCTGCAGCAGAAGGCACCAAGGCAATAGTTTACTTCCACCATGAGACAGCCGGTGAGCCAGAGCCCAGAACCGATACTAAAATAAAAAGTCGATGTCTGTCATCCGGTACAAAACAAGCTCGATATTTAACCGAATGCCTACCATATCGTTGTGAACCCAGCGCTATCCATAAAACATGCGTATGATATTGTTCTTTTGCTGCATAAGAAAAATATCCGCACTATTGCCGGGGTGGGCCCTGTGAAGCACTGCAAAATACTCTTTGTAAAATTTCTCATTATATTTTATTTTATTTTTACATACTAACGGACAAACTCCATTTTTACATTCTTACAAACAAAACAAGATGAATAGTTGAGATTATTATTTATGAGATCTGTCGAGATTATTATTATACTGTTACTTGCTTTTTTTGTTTCTTTATCATTGTAGTTGTTGTTTAAGTGATTTATTTTACTGTTACTTGGTTTTTGATTCTTTATCTTTGTTAGCTAATTACCAAATTTGTTGTTCCCCATGTTGATTGTTAATTGCCGTTGTTATATATTGATATACCGGTATTTTTGATACATTCTTATTTATAGGGTATTTTTAGTCAGGTCATCTTCATGTTATGTATGACATGTATAATGTATTATGTAAGTCTAAATGTAACGTCTTGCCATCATTGTATGTATATGAAAATGGAGTTTTCCGTCTGTAAATAAATAAATGATAGCATTCGCTCTGGCCTTAAGTGAAACGCAGAGGATACGCGTCCGGTAACCGGACGTGGATTAGGCATCCGGCAGTTACTGTCATAACCTAACCTAACCAACCAAACTTGCTGATAGTGAAAAAAATAAAATGAAGGTTCAATTCTCTTCATAACATAAAATTATAAATGCCAAAAATTCTAACAAAAGATGTACAGTTAAGAAGAAATTACATTCAAAGCAAATTCTGTGACCAAAAGTTAAAGCTACCGATGGGTTTCGAACCGGGGACCTCTCGCACATCAGTCGAGCACTCTATCCACTACACCACGAACACTGATGGCTGAACATCGTATCATTGTGGTAATGGCGTTCCGGGACCCCCTACCGGACGCCTAATCCACGTCTGGTTCGTGGTTACCGGACGCGTATCCTCTGTGTAAGTGAAAATACATGCATTTAGATAATAATAGTGTGACAGTTGAATGTACTTAAGGATTCAAATATAAATAAATTATTAATATACATAAATAATAAATAGATGTTGAAATATACAAATATAAATAATAATACTAACAACAGCCTTTGCAAAGAAAGTCCCTGCAATCAGCGTTTTCCAAAATAGGGTCTACGTTGAACTTCATTATATTTTGCAGTGGTGTTTCCGGACCAATTGATTGACAAATAAATAAAAGGTTAAAATACCTGATTGTTGCCTTGTGGTCCAAAGTATTATGTCCTAGTGGATTAGGTAGGGATAATGTACATTTCGGTGCGAGCACCATCGTCGGATCCGTATAAGAACTATAGTAAAACTAGACACCCCTGAAGAGGCGCACTCAAACACATAAACACTGGTTGACTGGTATTTAACATCGGTTTTTCCCTTTTTACTACGCGTGCACGGGCAGGATATGGAGGCGCGTCCTCCATACTACAAAAACGTTGAAGCTTCCTATCTATCGAAGCTACGCTGTCCAGCGTCCAGGAAGAAATCGACAGTGTCTGGCACGCTGTTGCCCGCCCTTTGCATGCGGATATGTGCGCCATTCATCTCGTAGTTCGTGCGTTGGTGCTGTCTAACGAACAGGTCTCTTGAACGGGTGCGCGTTGAGGAGTCCGAAACTGAATCTGCTGAAGCATATCAGGGCGGTCAAGTGAACCATTAAGCTAAGGAGCTTGTGCAAGACAACGAGATCAGCGATGTGCCCCCTGGTCTCCAGATGCTGAAGATCCAGCTCACGATAGATTTCATCAATCTGGACTTGGCGGTACATGTAGCCATTCCTCACACCAACCATCCTGGCAAACCTGCGCCGCCCCAGACAGCACACTTTCTCCTCAGGACATCCCACGGATATTGCGACAGGATATGCAAGATATCCCATAGTAGTCCTATGGTCAACCTAGGATATCCCAGGATATCCGCAGGAATGCGTAATGTCCCCGCCCGGGGATGTCCTACGGATAAGCTCACAGCATATCCGTGGGACGGACATGTCCTGAAGATCGGAGGGGCGGTGCATCGATGGAAGGTATAATAACTTTGACATTTCCCAATGTTGAGTTTCATGTTGTTGGCCAAGCACCATTGGTCCAGGGAATCCAAACTGTGCTGGATTCTCGGCAATCCCCACTGGGGGGTGGTTAAATGTTGGGGGGAATCGCGCTATTGTCTTTGGGGAGGGGAAGGGCACCCCTGTCAAGTTGTATAATAAGCTGCGTGAACCTCTCCTTGAAGCAACCGTTTCTATTTTTAAGTCAAAAGTTTACTCATGGCTGCTAGTAAATCATTTCTACACTCTTAATGAATTCTTGGATTCTACTATTCTAATCTTGCCGTTAGATTAAGCTTATTTCACTACTATTACTCTTACTTTTTCTATTTATTTTACTTTGTGATTGTATGTCTGACCTATTTAAAAATCTAGCCATAATTTGACTATGCCTATATTTCAATGTATGATTGATCAATGAAAATAAATATTCTGATTCTGATATCCCCACTATTCATTCCACAATACGGTACATACTAATGGCTGTAATGCTTGTTTGACGTCCAAACAAACCTATTTGATTCATTACAAAAACCTTTACTACTTGAATGGTATTATTGACTATAACTCTATCTATCAATCAATATGTAGTGTTAAAGATTATAAACGTTTAAAGATTAACACACAAGATTAACAAAACTACAAATAATTAAGAGCCAATAGATTAAATATCATTATGTTAGAACATAAGGGGTATATTGTCTGTGTTTAGAACCACGGTTTGCACGATAGAGCAATCTATTTTATTTGTTTTTAGCGAATTTCCCTATAGGTAGTTTGCTTGTTTATGGATATATTTTGATAAAACTTGGCAAATTTATTTATTTTGTACTAAGCTATCAATATTTTACTCAAAAAACACACTTTATTAGTTTCCTTGTAGCAGCAAACCTAGGTACTCGTTAAACCTAATGTTATTAAAAAATATTTTTTAACTATAAATCAATTCAGACAAATGGAAATTCGCTTAGTCGACAGGTTTGCTGTGGCGGGGGTATTAATCAAACCTTGTCGTTAAGAGTTGTCTTGTCAGATACTTACAATATTGGACAAAATTAGATCAGCATAAATTGTTTCAATTAATAGACGCCTTTTTCCGTTCTCATTACGTAGCTTGAGAAGGACATGTAGCTTACCCTTGAGTCTAGTTAGGCAGAACGGGTTTTGAAGAAGAAGCAGAATTAAAATAGAACGGTAGAAAGCGACCAATGGAAATAGGAGAGATAAGAAGAAAAATAAATCGATTACGAATACAGGTTTTGTGGAAGTCAAAAGTCAAAATCAAGGGGCGGATCGGATGCAAAAAATCATTGTAAATTAGATAGATTTACTGGTATCAGGGATTAGGAAATGTATTTCAGTGGAGAATCTCATTTTTATTCATATGTAATCTAAATAATACGCAAATTTCTAAAGAACATATAGCATAAGGCTGAGGTTCCTGTGAAGAGTTTGTTGAACTTCAATTTCGAAATAAGGTCTTTTGGGGAGTTTTTGTCGGCTAGGCCTACCTCTACAAGCCCTTGGTAAGAATCCCAACGAATTGTTTCTGATTTTGCTATCCATACATGGTGTTGGTGTTTTGTTATATGCTTTGTTTTAGATTAGGAGTTGGAGATATCGGCACAAGCAATCTACATGTTCATAAATTATCATCTGATTGATTGGACCTGAGGTCTCTCCTGGATAAAGCTGCAATAATAAATTGTTTGGTAGAGAAGCCCATTTTTCAGGGACAGAATGAATTTCTCTGCCTAGGGACACATATTCTTCAAGTTGATTCATCATAAGTTAATTTCTCATTCATTGGCAATCTGAGTTTCAAACCTAGCCTAGTAGATTGGTTAGGCTAGGCCCATAGGCCCTAGCCTTTTTCTTATTTAGGCCATGGCTACAAATCAATTCTTTGTTCAAGATATATTATTTTTATTTGCCTTTTACCAAGATTTGGGGACAATTTCAGGGAATAGGCCTAACTTATGTTAACTTTTTAATTCTGAATTTTAGTGAGTTCTTTTTAAGGACGTTGTAGGCCTACGTTAAGTTAAGTAAGTTAGGCCTACTTAGGCTTAACTTAACTTAAAAGTTATGAGGTAATTTAGGCCTTCATCCCAAATCGGGTAGACTTCCGTAACTTATCTGTTGGCACAAACAACCGAATGAAAATATCGATTATTTTTTATTGTTTCATTCGATATATCGTTTGGTTAACCCTTAGAGTGCCAGGCGAGAAATAAAAGTAACGCTCAAAAAATGCCGATGATTTTTCCCGAAGGTCGCGCTAAAAATGCCGAGCGCGATCTGGCGATTTTTAGGTTAAAATTTCGTAAAAATTGAATTTTTGATATTTAGACCAATGAAAATCGATGTATCGCATCTAGTAACTTTCGACTCAATGTTAATATATGGGTTAAAAGAATCCGAGTATCCATTCGGTTGTTATGACAACTGTTCGATCATTACGAAACGTCCGGTCAGCCGGACGTCGGCACTTTTGGCTCGTTTTAAAAACGTCCGGTTCCCCGGACGTTGGCACTCAAAGGGTTAACTTACTTAGTTAGATTAGGTTAACCTTATCTTACCTAACTAACCAAATGATATATCGATTGATATTTTCATTCGGTTGTTTGTGCCTACAGATACGGAAGTCTACCCCCCAAATCTTAGGAAGTCACTCTAAATCAGGTTAGGCCTAACTTAATTGCCATTAAGACCTAAGCTAGGTTCTGAATAAATACTTAGGGTTGGCCTAATTATTTACTATTGCTTGCATTTTTTAAATAATTTGGCCTTGGTGTTTTGGATTGTTTTTTCCTGGGTTTAACTTAATTTGACAAAAACAGTCTCTAAGTTAGGTAACGTGAATCCAACATCGCGATTCATAATAACCTAGGCCTGAACTTCATTTTACTTAACTCAATTCAACCTACCTTCAAACGACTTGAGTTAATACCTAGATGATAAGTTAACTTAGGCCTGCATTGCACAAAGCCCAATCGACCACCCTGAAATGCCAGTTCTGACATGGGCCCTAACTTAAAGTAAAAAAGATTCAAAAGCTTTATTCACCATTCACTACAAAACGTACAATAGGCTTTGTCTCATACAGTAAAAAACTTAACTGCTAAAATAAATAAATCAAATCATTCCAAATAATAAATTACAAAATGCAAACCGAACTCACACAGCAAACCATGCAGAAAAAGAAAAAATATATGATCAAATTAACTTATTTAAAGTACGGTATCTAAGGAGTTTGCTGACGTTCTAGAAGTTTGGTTCGGTTTTGTTATGTTAGATCACAATAGGCTAACCTAAATTAACCTAAGTACGGTAACCTATCATTTTACTACATAAGTTAATCCCAATTTAGCAAATTTCATATTAAGTTAGTACGGTACTAACTTCTTATATAGGGCCTATATTGTGTTTCCACTTAACTTATGTATAAGTGTTAAATGCGTGTTGTTGTTAATTTAAATGACTTATAGGTAGGTAACTAAAGCCTGCCTTGTTTACTGAAACATTGTACATTTTGACAGCTAAGTTATATCTTAAGTAAAATCAGGGTTGCCACCAGCAATGAAAACCTTGAAAAGCTTGAATTATGCATGAATTCTTGTGACCATGAAAAAAGGCTGGATTATGCATGGATTTCTCCAATGGACCATGAATTTTCAAAATTGGGAACAATTATTCAACCAGTACCATTAAATTTTCCAAATAAAAAATATTTCATATTTTTAAAACAGTCTATAGAAACGAACACCATAAAAATACTGTGTGGAGATGATTATTTAACATGTTCCAAGATCAGAAACAATTGCTTAGTTCATTCCAAGTTATCCAAAGATGCTGATGTCACCTGAGACCTCCCGAGGACTGTATATGGTTCGAAAAAATCATTAGTAGGCCTACCCCCGCATATGAAAAAGGGGTAAGGGGACTTAAATCACAAAAAACAGAAGTTTTAGACCATGCACTGAATTGAAACAGGGAGCGCACAATAAAACATAATTTCCGACTCTGATGCCTGATTTTTTTAGCTTTTTGGATAAAACCATCATATCTTAATAATGTTGTGGATTATGATAAACCAGAATGTAGGCTACATTTCATGACAATTATGTAGGGGGATAAAACAGGACTTTTTTGGCTGGGTGAGTGGGGTTTTTGTTTTATTCCGGTGGAAAGACTGAATTGGACCTAGATTTAATATATTTTACAATTCTTCTCCAGTATCTCATATAGAATAGCTGGACCTGTTTTGTTTTCAACTTTGTTTTGAATGTCTATAAATCACTCTAAAAAAGTTGTATATTAGGTATGAAGGGTTATTAAAATGCAACACACAAAGAAACTGCCTCTTTAACGTCAGTTTATGAAATCAGCAAAACTCAATTGTCTTGAAATTGTATTAAAGCGCATCGACCATGATTTTTTTTAAACCACCAATGAAAACCATGAATTCTGCATGAATTTTATCATCCCACTATGGTGGCAACCCTGAAAATGCATTTGTCGTGAACAAAATTTAGAAGGCCAAGCATATATTTGGGTTCGGAGGGGTAAGAACTCTCCTGTTAGAGGGAACATTCATTAGGGTCAGTAGTAATTATGACCAGGGGCTGTAATTATGGCCAGAACCATTTAAAAAAAAAAACCTAATATGACAGTAAAATTATACAAAAATGTGTTTAAGGCCTAGGCCCTACATGGTTTTATGTGTATTTTGTTTTGGCAACCTGTAAATAGTAGTTTAGAACTTCAGGAAAACATCAGGTACCGTACCGTAAATATTTACCTAGGCTAAATAATTTTATAATAAGTCACAAATTTTCAATTACGTACTGGTATCGGTTTTCACATGTTATTAAACCAAGTATAACTTAAGACATATTTGATATGTCTGTTTGTCTGTCTGTCTGTAATTTAATGCATTTGAAGATATTAAAACAGATGGAATATGGATTGTAAAGGAAAAGAAAAATATCAATATATCGAAAAGTAATCATCGGTTATATACATTAATGAATGATCCCCTTAATAGGAAAGTACCTTCAGAATTTGAACAAACTTAAGTAGGCCTAAGTTACCCGTAAATTAACTGAAGACATCAACGTTAAAAATTGATTTGGAGGCACCTGTAATTGGGTAGACTTTCATAGTGGGGCCAAAACCGAATGAATATATCGATTATTTCATTCGATATCAAGTTTGGTTAGTTAGGTTAACGTAACCTTACTATCTGAATTGTATAATCAATACAATATTTTCATTCTTTGTTTTTGGCCCCACTTATGAAAGTCTACCCCTGTAAGTTACTTACATAGCCTAATTATCCAATACTTACCTAACTGATTAACCTAGGCCTTGGAAAGAATAGCAAATTTTGTCTGTATGCTTGGGTCTCCGTATAACCTGATGCAAGGCACCCTTAATCTTAATAGGTCTAGTTAGTTAGCCCTAAGTTTGGTGTGTCTAGTAGTATCATCTGAACGACAAATATTTGTATACTGATTCCAAATGTGTACTTAGGCCCTGACTAGGCCTAAATTGTAGCATCACTTGTATGATTATATGACCTGTTAGGTAAGATCCTGTTAGTAGGCTATATTGTTTCCTGATTTCTAAAAACAACTTGAGACTAAGTTTAGTTAACCACAGATCATTTTTAAAATCTAAGTTGCATTGAATTAAAACATTATCATGTGGCTTTTCCCAGTCCAATAAACACGGACAGAATTGTCCGATCCTGCTGGACAGAAAGGCTAATCCTTAAAAGTTACTCGCTGACAAGCTAGGTTACACATAAGTATGGTAGAGAACTGTCTTTTCCAACACAAAGGTTTGGTGTTTAAAAGTTTCTTTTTAGTTCTTAAAAGCTGAGGAACCTCATTGAAATACTTTTAACGGATATTAGCTGGAGATAAAATTTTATGGACTGGGATGTTGGCATCGTACTGTAATCCATCCAGCTACTTAAGTAGTAGGTCACGAATTGTGGATATTTATAGGCATGCACTATGGATGCAATGCTCCCTGGTGTGGATTAACGTCCGCACTAGTGAGAACTACGACTATCGGCAGTACTATCCTGATAATTGGACCAATTCGTTAATATTACAATGAAAAAATGTGGTTCGGATTCCACTATAAAACTGTCCTTAGTTGTTATTGAATGTATGAGCTTTTAATTAACAGCTGTGTCCAAGGAACATGTCGGCCTTAGTCACTAACAAGACTACAAGATCACGCCACTCCTACACTCATCCTTTACTCATTTTTGGGGTAAACTATGCTCATAGTGGTGTCCCCATCTCAAATAATTGATCATTTATAATACAGTAATTTATTTTGCAGTGGACTGTCCACCATTATGTCTGCCAAGAGAGGGGCTGATATGGACAGCGGAGTAAGTGGAGAGCCTCCTCTCAAGAAGGTTCAGTTTGAACCTATACGAATCGGCCCAATCTCCACTTTGGAGGAGATGGATATCAAAGTCCTCCAGTTTCAAAACAAGAAACTTGCTCAGGTAGGTAGATTTGACTTCTTAAGCAGCCTACTTCTAGGTACTGTAGGCCTAGCATTAATGTTAAGAAAAGGGTAAACTTATCCATAAAAAAAATCAGTCAAAAGGTTTTCTAGGTTTTAAGCCTTCATGTTGCATCAATTAGAGAATATAATACTTACTAGGCTTAAATAGTCTTTTTTAAAGTTTTAAATTAGGTACCGTAGCCTACCCACACCAGCATGAAAGTCCCGCTAAAAACCTACTGTTATTGGGATTGGACCTGTTCGGATTAAATTTCAAAATATTGTGTATTAAGTGAGTTATCTAAAAATGCAGTGATAGAAAATAAAACAATGTATTTTTATGATTGTGAACCGTTATATAGTATTTCTTCTGCGATCTCAACAAAACCGTGATTGTCTCTCATGATCATTTTCGATGATAACGGTAGCACCATTATTTACTGATGATGACAACATACCACGATTGTCTAACCGGATCGCGGCAACACCATCCCTAATCACCCTCGATTGTGTTCATCTTAAGCTTATATTATACAGGCAGCTTTGTCATGGTAGATTTTTGTGTAACTTACATATCAGGCCTATGAGGCAATGGACTTCACGAGCGTTTTTTCGGCTGCTTCGGACTCTGTAAAGTCAGCATAAAATGCGTCCGGACTGGTAATCCCAAACTGGGAGCAAATAAGTTATGTGGTAGAAACTACGCAAGTGACGTCACTTGCTGGTGTACAGTCAGCTCTTACGCAGCAGATCTATTACTTCACCCCTACCATACACTACCCTTGCGCATTTGGGACCCTTCGCAGTATTTATGCTGCTCATAGCTTCACCAGCAAGCGTATGCGCTTAAGACAGCATGTTTCTGCTTGTGTAGGCCTACCTTACAGCTCAGTTTTTTGTTATCAGCATGAGCATTTTATCTACAACAACAAAGCTGCGCGTATAACATGGGGTCTTGCTACACGACAATTTTAAATGAGAACCAACATAATGTCAATAACGTAATGAATGGACGCTCAGCCATAGGTTATTGGCAATAACACCAGATAAACAATAAAATTATATTCTATTTCAAGGTCCCAATAAAATTCTAATTAGCCTATTGAATTATTCACAGACTTTTTCCTGTTTTGAAAATTCTCTCATAGCCTTTTTCCAGTTTATCTTTTGGCTGAACACATTCTGGTTAGTATTTCAGAAAACGTAGCTTTGTTTTTAGTTTAAATACAGTAGGGTGGGATTTGAACCTGAGACCTCTGGCTCCGAAGCCTAAAGCCCTAGCACTAGACCAGCTCGCTCCCTATCTCGCTGCATGGTTAGGCCTTGGCCTAATTAAAATAAGTAGCCCCAAACAAACAAACAGAATAATTATACGTCTCTTGGCCACATTTTATAAATGATAAGAATGGTAATACATGTATCAACAATGACACGTTTTAAAACATCTTTGTTACATAGGCCTAATTATACATGTGACAACTTGTGAATCACAGCTGTTAACCGATATTGCCAGGCCTATTATATTTTGAATTTTTCAGAGACTCGAACAACGGAACAGAGTGGAGGCCGAGTTGCGTCAGAGGATTGAACAGTTAGAAAAGCGACAAACACAAGATGATGCCGTTCTCAATGTTGTCAACCGTTACTGGAATCAGCTCAATGAAGACATCCGAGTGCTGCTGCAAAGATTTGACGCAGAAACGGCGGATGAGTCTGAGAACAAGAGTAGGCCTAATATTATAGCATGAAACAAACCATAATTAAGTTATTGTCTCAGATGAGGAACTTAAGGTTTCATTACCTTTTTGTCTAAATATTCAACGATGTGCTATAGTCAACATAATCAGCCTAACTTAATAGGCTACTAAATTATATGAGTGTTTAATAAAGAAGTTGCAATAGACACCAAAATTCTCAATTGCTTGTGTATGCTTTTGTGGATGAGCGCTGCAAAATGTCGGTTTGATATTTGCAAAGCGTTATTCATCATTGTAATGTAAAAAGAAAACTATCCTTAAAATTATTTAAGTTAGATTTAAAGTATTTAATGAATGACCTAGTAATCTACTTCTATGCCATTGCAAAATATTTCAATTTCTAAATTTTTTTTTATTTAACAAATGTTTAAAATACTCTCAAGGTTGAAGTGAAGTGCCTCAAAGTGGTTCAATTTTTCCCATTATTAAATTCTTCCTTTACAGACGAGAGCGAAGCCACGACATCATTCTTGATGCAGCTCTCCACTTGGGATAAAGAAGAACTTGATGAGAAGTTGGCCAATCGAGTGCAAGTGTCAAAAAGAGCTGTCGCCAAAGTTATCCAGGCGTTCGACAGACTAATGCAGAGAAATGAGAAAATCACTTTGGCGCTAAAGGGAGAATTGGATGGAGGTAAGATACACCATTATTGGTGACTGAAAATAGATTCTAGGAAATCTAAATACGGTTAATTACCGTCAATGATGTTTGTGTCTGCCATCTCGTAACTCAGAAGCTTCATACACATCTTGTAAATTTTTGTATATTGTGTACCTACATATATCCTATTGTAAAAAGGTGTTATCGAAATATACTAAATCAATTATATCGCGGGTCCACATGCTATTTGGCCCTGGCCTAACAACTAATATTCGACGATGCCAGAGTTATTTCACCGCTGTTTCAATTACCGGGCTATTTCGTCTTCGCCCTAGGGTTTCACAATGGTTACTCTACTCCCCTTACCAGAAGATGTAGCTAGATATTCGCCCAGAGTTTGACTGACTGTCCCCTGTCCCCCGCAGCTTTTATAGGGGTCGCGACGCTAGGGCATTCCTTGGCTGCTCGGAGAACTGACCCCTCGCTGGCAATTTGAAATCGTATGAATGCTCATTTTTTGGTCTCGTAATATTTGTACCTTTACAAGAGAGTTCTATTGTAGATATGACAGGTTATAGTATCTATAAAGTGATACTAAAAATTGTGGGTATAATGGGCTTATTTTAAGTATTGAAATTTATTAATAATAACCCACTTTCTAGAACATTTTTTTTTAAATTTGGTGTTTAGAAAAGGACATAAAATTGTTGATTTATTGTATTTTACATTGTCAACACACGTAGGCTACTATCAGTATCATAGAGGCCCGTTTCTTGTTGCAGATGAAGCACCAAATGTGGATGAGGTGATCCGACAAGCCAACATAGAAATCCAGGCGGAAAATCGTAATCTGCAAGCCCTGAATACTTCTCTGCACAAGAAATATCACAGCATTTCACTGAAGGTAGATTTCTTTTACAAAGATGGCTAGTCTGAATTTCTGTAAAAATTGCAATGCATTTATTCAGCTTGTGTGCACAAATTAGTGTTCTTCCCAGGATTGCCAATTTTTTGGCAAATACCACATCCTAGGGAGTTTTCTTACTTCTCTTGACGTTCCCTTTGATATTTCCAAGTAGATGAAACTGTTGTATGATCTAGAACATTGAGGAAGAAGAAATTGATACTTAACTAACTTACTCAAGAAAAGAGTGTCATGCTGTTGGTAGCTCACAAATGGTTTACAAGATTTGATATTTTACTCCTAAAAGTGGGCATCTTCAGAAGGAAGTAGTTAGAATGTTATAGATACCCTACGGTACAAGTTATTTGTATTGTAAATTTGTTGTTAGCTATCACTGCCTGAAACATCTTGTGTAGGTTACTTGTATATCTGTTCCTTCCTCCTCAATATACTCCTAAGCCAAGTGCTCCAAAAATGTACACTTGCTATGAGAACCTTATTCATCTTAATTTTGTAATTAAGCTCTATAAACTTCCTTCTTTGACACACAGGTCTGCGTTTTCAAAGCCTTATAAAAAAATGTATGTTTGCTGTAGATGGCAGAGCTGCAAGAGCGTGTGACAGGTAAAGAGACGGAGGCTGCAGAGGTGTTGAACCGTGTGGACGACCTGCAGTACGAGCTGCAGAAGGTGCAATCTCGCAACGACAAGCTGGAGAACCACCTGGCGGAGGCCATTGAGAAGATCAAGACCTACCAACAGATACATGGCGACGAGAAGGGTCTGGTGAAGCCGGTCGTTACCACCACCGTGTCTCAGAAGAAGGTTGGTGGTGCTGTTGTAAAAATATAAGTTAAAACTCATTTAGTCTGTTCTAAAGTGAAAGTAAGTGAATAACAAAGTAAATAAATATAATTATGTAAAAAATGTATCTATATTAGACCTTATGTGACATCTCAAACATACATTAATACAAGTTGTCTCTGTGACCGCGAAGTCATACTGACGCACGCCGTGAGCACGGAGTCATACCGACGATTACGCCTAAGGGCCGGACTACACGAGCGTATGAAACGCCGCCGACCGTCTGCTTTTTTTGCAGAGCCAATAGCTTTATATGATGTGGACTACATGAGCGTTTTGTCTGCCTGGCGAGGACGCGTAATTCAGGCGTTCGGCAGATCTAACGCCTCTGGATGCGTAAAATACGCGGGCAGATCGTCGGCTCGCCGGACTACACGTAGCGGCAACTAGCATTTCTCCTGCTCGTTGATACATCCTTCCCCTCACTTGGGCGAGTCAAATTCTACATCTGCACTACTTGTTGTATTTGGAGTCGTCTGATTGTTTTTTGTGCCTTAATATTTGTATTTGTTTTACTGAAAAAGTTTGTCTGGGTACATTCTATGAGCATTAAACATTAATTGAAACTGCCCTGTTAAGCCGCGTTTACACCGGAGTTTGAAACACGAGTTGCAAACAGAAATTGCAAACATCTCTAAAAACGCCCATTTTCAGACGAAACTTTTCGATGTTGCAAACAGTTTTCCGGTGTTTGCAACAGAAATTTTTGTTTCCACTTGAAGTCGGTAAAGATCAAAGGGAGTTGCAAACTCTTTGTTTGCAACACTAGTTTCGGTCACTGTGAGCCGTTGAAACAAGAAACAGAAACATTTCTCCGCCATCCCCTACACTACCACCTCCTGTCTCAGTCACGTGATCACTCGCACCACCCTGTATCTCGACTCAGTACCCTGTCTGGACGGCTACCTCGTTATTATTGTGACTTATCTCGTATCGTGCGTGTTGTGAGTGATGATCTACTGAGTGAGATGGAGTGAAGAGATTACAATATTATTAAGTTAATTAGCTTTTATAGAGAACATGAAGTGCTTTGGAATCAAACTATTTCTGACTATAAAAACAAAAACAAGAAAAACTATGCGTGGAATGACATTTCACGGGAAATTAACTTAAGCAAGGCAGAGGTCCAAAATAGGATGAGGAACCTCATAATTCAATTTAACAGAGAATCTAAAAAGGGCAATAAGTCTGGATCGGGGGCCGACGATGGGAAAACCAAGTGGGAGTTTTTTTTTATCAATCAATGATATTTCAATCAAGGTCGAAATTATTTCAAACATTTTCATGAAACATGGAAACAGAACCATGAAATAAAAATTGCAAACTTTTATTTGAAACTACTGTTTGCAACTGGTGTTTGCAATAAAAGTTTGCAACTTTTTGTTTGAAACTCCGGTGTAAACGCGGCTTAACTAAACGACTTGATAATGTTCGGTGTGACTACCAAACGCCTCTTTGCACGACATTTCTTCTTAACAGCCTGCAACAACAGCATACCAGCTACACATCCGACCTGTATCGTGTCCAATCCATATTGGAACGGTCCAAATGACAGTCACATTGGGTGAGGACAGTCGGCGGCGTTCTATACGCTCGTGTAGTCAATGTTCTCGCGTTCAATACGCTGCTGATTGTCGGCTTCGTGTAGTCCTGGACATTTTTGCGCGTACTATCGGCGGCGTTTCATACGCTCGTGTAGTCCGGCCCTAAGCCGAGAGTCATACCTACGATCACGCAGTGACATCAAGTCATACCGACGATCTTGCCGTGACCGCAGAGTCATGCTGACGATCGCGATGTGACCGCGGAGTCATACCGACGATTACGCCTAAGCCGAGAGTCATACCTACGATCACGCAGTGACATCAAGTCATACCGACGATCTTGCCGTGACCGCAGATTCATGCCGACAATCGAGATGTGACCGTGGAGTCAAAGTCAAAACATTCTTTATTCGTTATAGTCATTCATTCTTTATTCGTTTGGTGAGTCGGTGGCTCAGTTGGTAGTGTCACGGACTTCGGGCCCAAGGCAGCGATGTTGTGGGTTCGGATCCTGGTCACTGCCACAAAAATTTATCAGTACAGTTCTAGTTCACCTTCGTCCTGTACCGGCTCACCCCTTGCTTTGCTGGATACTTTCCATGCACAGATCTGTAGTCTATGTGGACCGGGGATATGCAAGGTTAAAATGGTTAAAGAGGCCGCCTACCTCTTTGTAAAAAAAAAGTTTCACATTACATGAACTTGAATAGTCATAAGCTAAATTCAAAATTGCTTACTGCTAATTAAATACATAAAAAGAGTACTAAAATTACTTTACTTTTACTTTTAACAAAACCATGACTTTAAGGATTAGGCTACAGTAGGCCTATTTGGAATTCAAATTATGTTAGGCCTAACTGTTTTTTACTAATATTGAAGAATTCTGTTACTGAGTAGCAGGGAGATCTTAAAAAATATTCTTTTAAGAGCTGCTTGAATTTATTAAATTTTGTTTCTTTTTGGATGTGAGCTAGCTGGTATCGACTGGAGAAATTTTAGCCCTAAGTAAGATGTCTTTTTAGTGTAAAATTTGAGATTATGCCAAGGTAGGTTAATTTTTAATCTGGTGTTTAAATACTACCGGTAATTGTTCTGTTGAGATGGATGATAGTTGGATCTGTTTTGCATAAATTATTCTTTCATAAATATAAAGACTATACTTAATTAGTACTTTAACTAAATTAGTTTTTGATGTTACCCCATATAGAACAATTCCATATGAAATATGTGAATGTATTAATGAGAAATAAACAACTCTTAAGAGTGTCTAAACTGCATATTCTGGACATCTGTCGCAGAGCATGGATACCGGAAGATACCTTTTTAACCACACAATTTACATGGCCCTCCCAAGATAGATGTTTATCGATAATTAGTCCAAGAAATTTTGTTTGCTCAGTCATGCCGGCGATCATGCCGTGACTGCGGATTCATACCGACGATTGCGCCTTGACCGTGGAGTCATGCCGATGGCCACGCCTTGTCTGCGGATTCATAACGACGATCATGCTGTGACTGCGGAGTCATACCGACGATCTCTCATTGACCGCGGAGTCGTAATGACGGCCACGCCTTGACTGCAGATTCATACCAACGATCATGCTGTGACCGCGAGTCACAAGTTTCTATACCTGTAAATCTTTACCCATTTTTATTTTTTGGTTTTTATAGATCAGTGTCTCAAATGGTAAAAATTGATTTTGTTTGTCTTGTTTGCTAACTGCAATACTTAAGACTTTCTTTTTATACACAGGAAAAAATCCAGTCCCGTCCTGAAAATCGGGATGAAAATAAAAATCTTGTCCTTTCCTGTCCCGAACCAAAAGTTCAATCCCGTCCATCCAAAGTTCTAATGAAAGTAAGTGAACAACAAGGTAACTAAATATAATTATGTAAACTATTTATCTGTATCAGACCTTATGTGACATCTTAAACATACATTAGTACAAGTTGTTTCCAACTGTGAAGGATAAGTCTAGGTATAAATATAATTATGTAAAATATTAAATTTAAGCAACAATAAATAAAAGATTGCTCCAAGACAGAGATGTGACATTTGGATAATTTGGCCCAAATCAGTAAATTTAATAGTTAGTATTATTTTACTACTGTACTGCTATATGTTGGAGTCTTTAAGTTTTACTGCACCATTTTCATTCAGTCTACTTAAGTGATGATATGAGAAAGTTATAAAAATTTTGTTCCATTATTGGGAGATTTATATTGTCTGTTTTGTGCATCTTCTTTCAAAAACTTATTTTTCAGCCCTTTTAAAGTTCCTTAAGTCAGTTATTTAAGTTTACTTATGTCAGGTGTGTTAGCCTTTTATCATTACACATAAGCTACTATTAAATTAATATAATGTGTTACACAATTTTGATACTGAAGTGTATCAAATGGAGCTCACAAAAAATACCAAAATAAAAATGTAGGATTAAATAGTTATTTGTGTAATTAGTGAGCATTGCTGCACACAAGAGCAATGTTTACGCACGGGCTGCAGGCTTGTGCGGAATGATTTCGAGTGCAGCAAAGGCCTTTCGCACTTGTGTTACCCAATATATTTTTCCTACAGTCACTATAAAGTATATAAATAATTAGTCTTTCAATCACTATACAACACGTTTTTGGGATTAGGTTAGACCCAAGCCATGAACAGAATGGGAAATACTGCACCAGCTGATTGTAGTCGTAGTATCTTTAAGTAGCCTATTACTTATTTTCTAGAATACAGGTATAAACAAGTAGATTGTTCTTCAAAATATGCCAATAAAACATTTTCTGACATCTTTGTAACTTTCTTACTTGCGCGCCAAGAGGAAAACAGTTTGTATGCTCCTTCATACTTCTTTCTTGATTTTTCAGGTAACAGGTTTAATGAAACATGTTTTCAGTTTCTTACTTTTCTGGTCTACCATTATATTCACAAGCACTTTCACTGAGCTCATTGTTTTTAAACATGCTATGCCCACTTATAATAATTTATCTTTCAAATACTTCAGTTGTGTTCAAACCAAGCGTTGAACGAAAATAGTAATATAAACCAGTGTTGGGAAGTAGCGCGCTACAAGTAGCGACGCTACAGTAGCGCGCTACTTTTTTTGTAGCGTTAGCTGTAGCTACGCTACTTTTAAGATTTTGTAGCTTTAGCTGTAGCTAGCTAAATTTTTAAAGTAGTTGTAGCGGAATTTTAGCTACTTTTCTCGCTACATTAACATTTGTTTGAGAAAGTGATTTTTATCATAACCTCAACCTTACGTGAAACAACCTCTTTCAAACTGAGATTTTCAAAAAAATTAGGGCTACTTTCTTGGCTTCAAACAGCTGGTTGCAGCCGTTTCATTCCCTATTACAACGTTGTGTGGACATAGAGCCCATTAAATAAGTGTTATGGGTCATTCTCCATGAAAGGAGCACTTCTGTGTCATTGATGATTTACTCCTTAAATTTAAGAAAGAAACCAACAAAAATATGCATTATAATATTTAGTACTCTTAAACTAACTTAAATAATAATAAAAAATTGCAATTTCAACTTATTTAAAAAAATATATTAGCCACAGACTGTGACAAGTCACGTCCGTGGAATGTCACTACCTGTTTTTCAGGTACTTCACAAGCTATTTTCCCCCACATAATAACATTTAATATGGGTTAAAGTGTATTATATGGAAGTATCAACCCTGATTAAGAAGTAAGCCAATACAATTAGCAAAATTAACTGTTTTTAATGTAATTATTAAGCACATAAGTCGTGTCACTAACAAAATTGTCACGTCTGTGGAAGAAGTTTGTAGTTCAAATATAATTCAGCAGATGGCAGCTGTGGCACATACTAGTGGTGGTTCTACTCCTTCAGCAGCCATTTTGAATTGACAGCATGGTTTGGACTTAGTTAAGTGATGATTAAATGTGTTTTTTGAGTGGTCCAGTAAGAAAAGTTAATCTTGTTCATGACTGTGTGTCACGTCTGTAGCTAAGATTAAGAGGTAAGTAATACAATTTTTACTAAACTATCATTAATTAATGTTTAGTGGCTATTTTAGTAATCCTTAGTTTCAAGTTATTGGAATCCTAACCTCAAATACAACCTAGTATTGGTCTATTAACCTTTGATCTGTCACGTCTGTGGATGTCACGTCTGTTACTTTAAGTATTCCACGGATGTGACGAATATACCACAGACGTGACAGCATATTAAGTTATTCAGAGAATGAAGTTTCTTTTTTATATTCTACTTATTATTTTGAATAACTTATACCTAATACTTATTCTATTTATTATTACTTTATTATTTATGAAAGATCTTTTGTTTTCAATACTGCTGGTTAGTTTTTAAAATTAAAACTAGTGACCTATAGCCAGATATTTTTTCCAGATTAAAACAATTATGGGGAAGGTCGATAAGACACGGGAGTCCAAAAAGTTGAGTATGAGAAGGGCGAGAACTAAAATGAAAGAAGAAAATCCTGAAAAATATGAGGAACAAAAACGCAAAGATAGGGAAAGGAAACGAGCATCGAGAAAAAAAATATCCGAACTATCTGAAAGAGAAAAAAGAAAGATCAGAAAGGGTTGGAAGGAAAGAACTAGAAAGAGTCGAGAAAATAAAAAGAAAATGGCAGAGCTTATTGAAAACATAGCCACTCCTCCTGAAAGTCCTATCATGCATCTCGATAATAGGCCTAATGAAGAAAATATTTTGGCAGATCCTGTAGCCCTACCTGTTGCTGGATCAAGTTCAAGGAAAGACAGCGGTAGAAAAAGACGAAGAAAGAACAGAGATGAATTGAAATCTAAAATAAAAAAGTTGGAAGAAGAAAATAAAAAGTTAAAAAAAAGAGGGGACCGTTATAAACAAAGGTACTACAGATTAAATTCTACCAAAGACGAGACTCCTCGGAAGTTGGTCAACAAAATGCTCAAAGGCAGCAGAAAGTGTTCTGAAGAAGTCAGAAGAAACTTACTTTTTGGAGAGGTTCTAAAGAAACAGATAAATCTGAATTTTGTCTCTGAAAGAAGTACTAACAAAAAAAGAGCTTTTGAAAGAGTTTTAACAGGGAAAATAGTTAAAAAATACAGAGTACAACAAAGAATATGTACCATTACTTCAAGAAAAATATGTTCCAACCGAAACAAGGTTACCATTGAACTCTTGAAACAAAATTGTAAAATAAAAAATGAAGTTGAAAGTTTTTTTGAAAAAGATAGTGTTAGCAGATTGACTGCTGGCAAAAAGGAAACAAAAACAAAAAATAAGCAAAAAAAACAGAAAAGGCTGCTTAATGATACAATGAAAAACTTGTACAATGAATTTATCAAATCATCAATGAACCAAAAAATATCCTACAGCACATTCTGTAAACTAAGACCATTCTGGGTTGTTCAACCTGATTATTTAAAACGGGACACATGCCTTTGCATTGACCATGAAAATTTTGCATTGGCATTAGACAAACTTTACTCATTAAAAATGTTGTCTTTTAAATACCCTACAGACATTCTAAAAAGTTTAACTTGTGGGGAAGAGTTAAAAGAAGCATGTTTAGAAAGGCTTTGTGAAAATTGCAAAGAGAAAAATGTAGAAGTTAAAGAATTCGTGGATGGAGAAATTACCTACCACCAATGGTGCAAAAAAAGGGTTGAAGTAGCAATAAGAGGTGAAAATAAAGTTTGTACCAAAACATTGAAAGAAGAAGTGACCTCTTCCAAAAAGGATTTATTGTTACATTTCACAAACAACTTGCTTGATGATTTCATGAAACATGTATGTAATATTAAACATCAGTTCAGAGTAACATCAAATCTAAAAAAGAGCTTGGGTCCTAATGATATTCTAATACATTGTGATTTTTCAGAAAATTACAGTTGTAAGTATTCACAAGAAGTTCAATCCCTCCACTTTGGAGGTTCTAGGAACCAGGTATCCATCCATACTGTTGTAGTTTATTATTACGATGCGGAAAAGAAAGAAACTAAATCTAAATCCTACGCTACATTTTCAGACAATAGAAGACATGATTTTGTTGGGGTCTGTGCTCATTTGAAACCTGTCATAAGTAGCATAAAGGAAAAAATACCGGCCATAAATACAGCTCATTTTCTGAGTGACAGTCCGTCACAGCAGTACAGGAATAAGTCAATTTTTTATTTAATAGGGACATTTTTCCAAAAAGAACTGGAGGCCAATGTAGTGCGCTGGCATTATACTGAAAAGGGGCACGGTAAAGGGGCTCCAGATGGGATAGGTGGTGCTGTAAAACGATCAGCAGATAGTTCAGTTGGCCAAGGAAAAGACATTCCTGACTTGAACACTCTGGTCCAACATGTGTCAAACAAATGTCCAGGCATCACAATAACAAAAATAAACGATCATGATTTCCATGAATTTGAAAACTTAATACCAGAAAATCTACCAACTTTTAAGGGAACATTAAAGGTCCATGAAGCATTTTGGTCATCGAATCAAAAAAATTTGTTGTTTATGAGAAGACTTAGTTGTGCCAATTGTGTCAAAACTGGGAATTGTTCCCATTATGGTATTGGCACTGTACCAATTCCTGATGTCTCTACTACTTTTCAGCAATGTATCCTTTTATTTTCACTAAGTAGGCCTATTTAAATTTATGTAGGTACATACTATGTTGAGGTATTGAATTTTACAATAATTAAATAGATTATGGTTTTAAGTGAATATTTAACATGTTTTTTAAAACTCTTTCATTTGAGGTTGGTTTTAATCTTCCACAATGATAGGAAAATATCTTTCACTTCACCAAATTTAAACTAGTTGGGAGACAGAAAATAAAAATTTGCAAACTAAACTCTCAAAATACAAACAAAGGTATTATATACTAAAGACAGGAAAGCAAGATACGCCTCAAAAAGATACCATGAAATTAGGCAATTGGTTTTGGGGGAGATATAATTTAAATTTTTTTACCAGGCAATCTTATAAAGGTAAGTAAAATAGAACCTATATCTTATATCCTTCATGTTTTCCTTAACAATATACAGATAAACAAATGGAGGACACTACACCAAACGAGGATACTACACCTAACAGTTACAAGCAATTGAGATATGAAGAGGTTTATAGTGACTCGGAAAATGAAGTTGAACAAAACTTAAATGAAGCCTCTTTTGGCAATAAAGTTGTGACAAATGAAAAGTCTTCTATTGTTAAAGTTAATGATTATTTAGTTGTAAAAGTCTTCGGCCGAAAGGGAACAGTCTTTTATTATGCTGCTTGTGTAACTGAATGTCTGGAGGACGGTTATCAAGTTCGCTTCATGCGGAGATGCCCAGACACAAAAAATAAATTTGTTTTTTCTACGGAGTGTGAGGCAGTAGTTAACGAAAGTGAAGTAGAAGCAATTTTGAAGCAGCCTAAAGTAAATTCTAGGGAGCAATACATTTTTGAAGATGTAGGCCTACCAAAGAAAATTAAACTAGGCCTCCTTAATTAGGTTTGGTTACATAGCTCCACGTGAAATTAGTCGAGCTGTAATTTTTGTTAAGCTTCTTTTGACTTAAATTGAAAAGACAATGTAATCCAGATGGAATTAACTGCATTTTGGGGGATGATTTATTGTGTATATAGTGGGCAGAGGGCTGGGGTGATATTATTTGCTCCTTATTAATGTTGGTTCCGTTTTAAACTTGAGGTAGACGGTAGGCCTACTCAAACTCGACACACTTTCACATTAGGCTCCATATATATTATCAATTTAAGGCTGTATACTTATTGATTAAGGTCACATATGGTAACAGTAAAATATTAAAAGATTTCTTTCTTATACAATACTGTTTTATTTAAATTCCTAGAAGATTGTGTCACGTCCGTGGAGGTTTGTGTCACGTCCGTAGACTGTGAAATATTTATATATTTTATTTTAGAAAAACTATAATGTTTTGATCTTGGAGTTATATCACATTCTATTGTACTTTACAAACCCTACTATAAATACATTTTCTGTTAAAATTAGAAAATATAATTTAGTTTTTTTTTTTTTACTGAAAATGTACACTTTTTTGAGAATGACCCTTATCCACATTTTTGGCTCTCATTTCCTTAATTTACTACTCTATGATTACTGTCAGATAAAATAAAATCGCTAGATGCAGACGACGTTTAAACGGTACCGGTGACAAGAGAAGCTATTGAATTGAATGCTTGCAAGTGGTTGACAGGACAGACGAATTAGTAATCAATTTAGTTTGTTTATTATATCGATAATGCTTCAACTTGGGGTTTAACGGAAACCAACGAAAAAATAGCATAGTTTGCTCCTGCTAACAGCTCTTGTATAGGACTGAAGCTATGGTTTAAGACGAATACCAAGTTCAATTATTATGAATATATCTGTTTAGTCCTTGCAAGAACAAGCCTACTATAGCCAACTTGTTACATAGCCAAGTAGGCCTACATGTTATTTTTACTTTAAAAATTTCATCATGTTTAAATTAAAAGCCGATTTCAGGATAAGTTGCTGAATACTGTTTTCTCTAACAACTAGGATGAAGCACAATTTGCCCTATGCATAATGACAATAAAGGACGATTTCTTGACATTGAAAAGTGTTATTCGTAGAATAAGTAATTTATCACTTTAAAAGTTATAGCAATGTTGTTTTTAACATTAAAAGTAAAGAAAGGCAATAAACTCCAATTTCAGTAGCCTAGGCTCTGTAACACAAAAAGTATTTTTAAATAATCTTTTTGCAGTTTTATTGGTCTTAATTGTTGATATAAAACATCTATAAATGAATCTATATTAAATTAATAAAATTAGCTTTTAAAATATAGTTTGGTTGTATGTCCTTTGAACTTAATGAAAATTACATTTTAAGATGCTTAAAAATAATGCAATATTTAAAAATAATTACTAAATATGATGGGACACCCAACTATTTGGTTCTGTTGTTGTAATGTTAGGTTTATAATGCCAACAAATTAAATACAATCTAGGAATAATTTGTTTTCCAAGTAATGTTAGATACAATACTGACATTTTTTTAAATGTTTGTTTAATAAAAATGTAGTTGCAATTAATTTTACATTTACCTCATGTGCGTGGAATAAAAATTAACGTCTTTGGAAAAGTAGCTAAAATTGTAGCTGTAGCTACATTTCATTGTAGTTGTAGTTGTAGCTAGCTACTTTTTCGGAACTGTAGCTGTAGCTGTAGCTAAGCTACTTTTTTGGAAATGTAGCAGTAGTTGTAGCTAGATACATTTTAAAAGTAGCTTCCCCAACACTGATATAAACTATAAACTTGAAATTAGAGGTTAAATCGTAGTTATAATAGTCAACCAGCTGATCATAGTATGATTATCTTTTAGTGTTGCCAACCTATTTCCAAGCGTACACTGATTACGTGTATAATAAAACCACGCTGTTTTGTATTGTTTGGTTAAAATCCTGATGTGCCCCAAAGTAAAACCCGTACGACAAAGTATAAATATGCAGCTGCTAACTTTGTCGGGTGACTGTAGGAAAGTTTTTTCCCTTTCAAAATGATTTTTATATAATTGCAGTTTTTTTCAAACTAGCACTCAGCTTACTTTCTGGCTTTCTCTTATTATTTAGTAACTATAATTTTACAGTGAATTTTATAAACCTTCCAACACCAATGTTGGTTTTTACTAACCTTCAGTGAACTTTGTTCAGATGGAAGAACTGCAAAAGGAGATAGAAGAAACAAGGGAACTGGCCAACAATCGACTACAGGAATTGGACAAATTACACTCACAACATCGCGAAGCCCTGAAGGAAGTGGAAAAACTGAAAATGGACGTAAGTGGAACTTAGTTAAAAGTCAATTCACAATTAGTTTTGGGATCTAAATCACTATAGCAGTGTCCTGAGTCGTTTGAAACAATTTTTTTTTACTATTAGGTTTGGATTAAATAATTAAATATAGGATGGAGAGGACACAGCTAACTCACCTGATGAAAGGTTGCAGACGAGTCAAAGAACACATAAAATCACACACATAATATACTTAATATTTCGCCTCTTTCAGAGGCTTCTTCAGAAGTGAAGTTTTTACTATTAGGGTATTTTCTGACTCACTGTTTATTGTTGTCATATTATTGTTCGTTCTAGTGTTGTCTTTCTACTATTTAGACATTTATAAGAAAGTATTGATAAATATATAAGTTGGGTGTCTAGTTATTTTAGTTATGGGGCAGCGCTCCTTCCTCAATACCTCTCAAACAAATTATCTAATCCTAATCATACTCAAAATAAGTTTAAATTTAAACGTTCTAAATTAAAGCTTCGTTAAATTTTTTTGAGTCATGTATCAGTGAAACACAATCAATGTAAGACTTTTAATTGTTTGTTTTGTATCAAAATTAATTATAACCTTATTGTCTTTTTACCTTAAAGATCCGACAACTGCCCGAGAGTGTGATTGTGGAAACGACGGAATACAAGTGTTTGCAGTCGCAGTTTTCTGTCTTGTACAATGAGTCCATGCAGCTGAAAACCCAACTTGACGAGGCCCGACTACAACTACAGAGCTCCAAGAATGCTCATCTGCGCCAGATTGAAATGATGGAGGTAATGTTGGAACTATAAATAAATAGAAATAGGAGTAGTAAGAAGGGTTTGATTCACCAATTAAATATGTGGGGGAGCAGAGGGGGGCGGGTAATGTTATGTAGAGTAGTAATAGTTCAAATATGTGGGTTATTTGTGATGTTCTTAAACTTAAATTACTGAAATCAAATTGGTAGACCTTGCAGCTTAAATGATGAATTCTTTTTTCAAGTCTGTTAACCCATTCCCACCTAAAGACGGGTGGCGCCCGTCCTGGCGCGTCAGGTTACAAAAGACTAAAGACGGCCAGCGCACGCATAATGCATTATTATGCGGTATTATGCATTAGTTTTAGTGATGGGCGGATCCAAGAAAATGTCGGTACCGGATACGGATCCAGATCTTCGGAACCGGATCCAGATACACACTGTCATAAGGGCGGGTAAAAAAAAAAACGTAATTAACAGAATGCCAATTTAAATCATACTGTTTATAATTAAATTGGTAATGTTTAAAGGTCAATATATCTTATATATAGAGTAATCTCCAGTTGAACCCATAATCCCTCATTTTTCTGGACACTAAAACTTTTCATGATCATAAAATTAAACTTTGTGCTAAGTTTGCACGACCACCAAAAGGGTATCTGTATATTTTACTATAGTTCGATCTTGAGTATGCTATATAGTGGTTTTTGCGTGCAGCATCCAATTTATTTATGCCTGGATCACCCCTTGCTTATCTCTTCCTTAAATTCGTTCCAGGTCCACAGTACTGATAGCCAGGTATGTGAAATTCTACAGGTAAAATGCCCTGTGTCTGTGTACAAGAAGATTATCTGTGTACATACGGGGTGAATAAAAAGTCAAGACTCCCCCATCTAATATATTTCTAAGTTAGAACACAGTATAGTCTTCTTGTACACAGACACAGAGTATTTTACCTGTAGAATTTCACATACCCGGCTATCAGTACTGTGGACCTGGAACAAATTTAAGGAAGAGATAAGCAAGGGGTGATCCAGGCATAAATAAATTGGATGCTGCACGCAAAAACCTCGATATAGCATACTCAAGATCGAAGGATAGTAGAATTAGTTCAGTGGCTGCCAGCTTATTAGCTTGGGAAAGGGTAAAAGCTTCAGACTCTAGTATTGGTGAGAGAGCTGCCGCCTGGGCAGTTACTAATATAATGAAAACTAAAGCAAAACTTGGTGGGGGAAAAGGAAAGACTTCAAAAATTAAAAAGCAAATAAGAAATTAAAAACCTGTTGGGAAAAAGAAAAAAAATCTTAAATGTGCCTGCAAAAGGAAAAATAAAAGTGGTAAGTGGCTCTATTTGAGACCTTGTACGGGATCTGGTAGTAAAAGTAAAAAGAATGTACTCATAGGAAATAATTGAAAGACTTCCATAAAAACCATTAAGTAGTTTGGATATAATAAAACTTGCTGCTGATTTAAAGTTGCCTCATTTTAGAGGAGTCTTCTTTACACAGATTAGTGATGGTCGAGACAAGATAAGATTTTTTAAATTCCCGCGGGATGGGATTTTTTTCGGGACGATATTTAATGGACGGTTAAAAAAAATAATATAAAAGAATTGATGTCAAGGCCATGTCTCAGTGTTTGTCTCTTGATGCAAATAACTTATATGGCAAGACCATGTCTCGGTGTTTGTATCTTGATGCAAATAACTTATTATGGCAAGGCCATGTCTCGGTGTTTGTCTCTTGATACAAATAACTTATATGGCAAGACCATGTCTTAGTGTTTGTTTCTTGATGTAAATAACTTATATGGCAAGGCCATGTCTCAATGTCTCTTGATGCAAATAACAAGGGCATGTATCTTGACGTACCGAATCTGACCCGATTTTTGGATATCAGCAAACCTCTAGTTTTTAGTTTTGTCCCTGGACAATTAGCTAACGGCCCATAATCTCGTCTCGAAAATATCCCGTTAGTTTTTTAATCCCGCCCGAAGCTTCGGGATAAAAAAATTTTGAAGTTTCCATTTTGTCCATCACTACCACAGATAGTCTTCTTGTACACAGACACAGATAGTCTTTTTGTACACAGTCACAGATAGTCTTGTACATGGTTACAGACTGCTTTGTGTTAGTAAAAAAATCTGATCCATCAAAACCGGATCCAGCCCAAGATCTGGAAGTTTTTGGATCCGATTGGGTGCCGGTTCTAGATTGGATACCGGTAGTCCGATATCCGGATCCGACCATCACTAATTATTATTGATTTACCTCATTCTTCCCAATGTTGTAATTAGTTGCAAAAGTAATATAATTATGCTTGGAATATTATTTTCCATTTATTTCATTACTCCCAACACTTTAATAACTTAACTTAGTACACATGAAATTTTTGTGCAAAAATTGTATCCAGGCCTATTTTATCGTTTTGCATAGTTTTACAATCATAGCTATAAAATGAAGGATTTTATATACAAACAAACCAAATAAAGTTTATTGTGTAACAAATTGAATACTAGACTATTTATAAATTTGATCAAGAAAAGATTTTTTTAAAATATTTTTTATTTTTCAAGGTTTGCTTTTAAATAAAAGTTTTGCATATATAAAAAATGCATGTATATGTACCTATTGAAAATTGCTATAACATTTATTTGATTTACAATTAGTGTCATATGAAAGGAAATGTTATGTTGGTAAATTATAAATTACATTTTTAATGAGTTTTATTGGCCCTTTTTTACTCAGTTCTAACTGCATGATACTTGACAAATAACTCAGTCAGGAGGAATTGATTAAAATAGCAATGTAAAAAGACATTTTGATCGGATATCTCAAAAATTTAATAAGTTTACTGCAAAATGCCTTTACAAATAAATAGGTAGTACAGTATTGTAAAATATGTTTTTTTTTTATTTCAGGATCATCTAAAATCACTTTGGTTGATAGTCGAATTATTGCAGCAAACAAATACAAATATAAAACGTTACTCCCTTAGAAATCGTCAAATCTGCACAATATAAGCACTTTAATAAATATTACAAAAAATATTCATGTGTTGTTATTCATATGTGTTTAACAAATATTATTTGTTTAGTTTTTGTTTGTAAACATTCTGAATGCTAGTTTATTGTAAAAGCTACCTACAATAAAGTATTTGTCTCGTTAAAAGTATATTTAATTTAACTTACGATAACACTACATGGTGGCAGTGGGTTTTTTTATTGTTTTAGCAATACAGTACATAAAGATGAAAGGTTTTAGTGTTCCTTCCCCAGAACATTTTGATTTTAAAGGAGAAAAATTATTTAAATGAAAAACCTCACGTTTCTTGCGCTTTCATTCGGTATCTGGGCTCAACAATGAAGACAAACCATATCAGGTAAACACACTATGATGGGCGAAAAGACCGAAAGCATATTTGAATTATTAAATTTGACATCTGAGGGAAGTAAAGTTTCAAAACTGTTTAAACAAAATTTGATACATATTTTGCTCCTTCTAATTTATTTTAATCTATTAGAGGTACACGTTTCATAATAGGGTTCAACATGAGAAAGAGCGTGTTGAGATTTTGATTCATAATCATGATCTTCATGACATGGCTTCTAGATGCGATTTTCCTGTTTCTTGTAAAGATGAGGCTATAAGGGATTAACTTGTTGTAGCGATTAGAGACAAAAGTTTATCTGAAAAACTACAAATGAATGCAGATCTAACACTTAATTCTGCTGTCTCAAATGTTAAGCAAGCCGAATCGGTTAAAATGCAACAATCATTGATGAGGTCCGGTCTTCAGAACATGCACTAACTGTAGATAAAGTCACTTTAAGGACTTTGAGCACTAAATTTGCTCAGAAACCTCCAGTTGATTCCAATGCGTACAGTACCAATTACTACTGTAATCAATACCAGTGGTGTGGTAACGCTCAACACGAACGACCAAAATGTCCTGCCTGGAATATTTTCTGTCGAAACAGGAAGAGCCATTTTGCTAAATGTTGCCAGTTCAAAAATGTGTAGGAAATAAATTTGAATCCTATTCAAGATGAAGTTATTAAGAGTGACAAATTTGTGGGGTCTATTAATCCTCAAAATAATACTAAAGCAAAATGGTCTGCTGAAGTTAAACTAAATGGAGTATGTATTCAAGCTAAGATAGACACAGGAGCTGACGTTTGTGTCTTGCCCCAATCAATTTATAAGTTGAAATTGTTTGTGTACAGTACCGTACCCACTAAATTCAAGTAACAAAGTTTTAATTGGGCCTAACGGGTCTGTCCTTAATATCGTAGGCGTATTCGAGGGTACAATCCAGTACAAGACAATAAGTCTCAGTTTTATGTAATATCTGGTGCTGATAGAACCCTTTTGAGCAATGAAGTTAGTGAAAAATTAGGTCTAGTTAAAAGGATGTTTCGAGTCGACTCAACTGGCTCGATTGATCCCGTTACATCATACCGTCAACTTTTCAGCGGTCTTGGTGGTACATAAACTTATTATAATATAAAATTAAAACCAAACGTTGAACCGTACTCTCTCAAAGTTCCAAGGCGTGTTCCCCTACCCTATTAAGATGCTGTGAAAAAAGAACTGGATGCAATTTTGGATAAAGGTTTTATCGTGAGAGTAGACACGACTGACTGGTGTACACCTCTTGTCCTAAAAAGGACTATTCAATAAGACTTGCGTAGATTTAACTAAACTTAATGAGCGTGTTCAACGAGAACTATATCCTGTGCCCTCTGTAGACTACACTCTGGGACAATTAGTTGGTGCTAAGGTGTTCTCGAAACTAGATGCTATACTCCGCACACTGTAACCTTTCACTTGGGATTTTTGGCGTTCCGTGTAGATTTTGTATCGTCAACGTCGCACAGCCAAGGTGAGCGCCCGCGTTGGCTCCAGGTACCCTTCCTGAGAAAGGCTCTTTCGAAACTACAAATACTTTTTTTCATATGAGACATTTTTTAAATATTTCTTATCATAACATGTTAGACCAAACTTAAATGATAATTAATATCCTAAAATAATTT